AGTAGAATTCAGGAATTTGCTCTTTTGTTGTAATTGTTGTCCAACTTAACAAAAACTTAGACCTCTGGCCCATGATATGAATCTGTAACACACAATTGTTTCTAAATATCTCTACCCTGATTATTTGGATTTAGAGATGCTGTTCTCTGAAGTAGATAGAATTTGAGTATCAGGAAGAGTTTTTTGAATTTATGGAATGATGAGAAGAAGGGCACAAGGCCTCATGTGACTCCCGTAAAGGTCCTCTTTTTTTTTTTCTGTTTTTACCCTCCAATGTCTAGACTTAAGATGTATTTAGAAAGGGATAATTTTAAACTGTGATCCCCAATTTTTTTTTTTTAAGATTTTTTTTTTTGCCATATGGCTTGTGTGCTCATTGGAGAGAGAGAGAGAGAGTATTGGTCTGTTTATTCCAGTAATAACTTTCCATAGAGTAGGCTAATTTTGGGCCTAGATTTATTTGAATTTGAATGGCTGCCATTAAGTTTCAGGCATTGGATTTTTCTGTAACTCTTACTAATGCATGAGAAGAAGTTTTGGACAGATGTCTTACCAAAAATAATAATAATAATCATAATAAAGTTTAATTAAGAGATTTAAAAGAGCAATCAAAACTTATTTGACATGCCTGTTTTGGTCATTCTGAAGATAACTGAACCACTAGTTAATGGTGGTTAAAGATAAAGACAACTGATGTGGTGGTTAAGGCTCTGGATTCCCATATGGCCAACCACAGTTCTAGGCCTGGACCCTGTGGCTTGAAACTCATGCTGGGGGCATGTGCATGTGTGCCCAAAATTCCAGGAGGAGAATGGATGAGAAGGGGTTGTGTGTGGTCATATCCACCCCCCACTCCCACCCCTGGGAGGTGATTTCTCACTTTTCTTCTCTCTGACTCTTTCTCCAGTGAACACACATGCCCTATGGCAAACAAACACACTAAAAAGAAAAAGAGAGAGAGAGAGTGATCAACAATTACATTAAATATTTATAATAATAATTATTATTTCTATTATACATACTACATATCAGATTTTGACAAAGCCAAGACCTAGAATGGAAGAATATCAGAGATCAAAATGTGTTGGTAAAGGAGGAATACTCTGATATTTTTTATTTCCAGAGAGAGAGTATATATTATTGGGTCATGGAAAAAGTCCTGACGTGGGACCAGCAGTTGGCGTAATGGCTATGTTGCTGGACTCCCAAGTAGCCGACCACAGTTCGAATCCCTGACTCAGTGGCTTAAACTCTCGCTGGGCGCACGTGCACGTGTGCCCAAGATCCGGAGAGGAGAACGGAGGAGAAGGAATTTCTCCTGGCCATCCCTCTTGGGGGGTGATTTCTTGCTGTCTCTCTATCTCTCTCCTTCTAGTGAGCACACGTGCCCTATAGCAAAAACCTTCCCCCCCCAAAAAAAAAAACAAATAGAAAATGTCCTGATGTATTTTTGCATAGGAAAAATACGTCATGAGTTTTCAGACCACTCAATACTGGACTGATTTAAGTCTGAAGGAAATGTGGAAAACATGGGACAAAGGAAATTTTCCAGATCATGGATAACCATGAAAGTCTCTCAAATTTCTGACAGCAATGCATAGCACGCAGGATAAACACCCACGTTTTACTAGATGCTATGGTTTGGATAATGGTCTGTCCTGCAGAGGTTTTTGTTTTGAACTATGGCCCCTAATGTTTGTGTTGGGAGGTGCTGATACCTTTAAGAGAAGGACCCGCCTTCTATGTGGGCAGACACCACTCAATTGGCTGGGAGTGATTGTGGGCGGGACAAACAGGAAGTGGAAGAGTCTATTTCCTCTTCCTGCTTCCTGTCTTCACTGTCTGCCTTCCAGTCTGTTTCAACCTTGTTGTGAGGCCTGACCCATGTTCTTGGACTTCCCAGACACCAGAACCATGAGGAAATAAACCTCTGCTCTATATAAATCTCCCAATCTCAGGTATTTCTGTTTAGCCACACCGTAACGGATTAATACATTAGTTCTCGTGAACAAATCCGTAATTATCCACTTTCCTTAGAAGGATTTTTCATTAATCCCCTAAGAATCATTAAAGTGGCATTTTAATATTATGTTCTAAGTCTTTAAATTGTTGAAAAAAGTAAGTTAACAGTATACTATATTGCAGTTTTGCCCTATACTATGTCAGAAATATCAAACTTACTATAAACTTGAAAAGCCGACCAAGGTATTAGTGAAATACTTAAATTCATTCAATTAAATTCATACTTTACCACTGGAGATCTCAGAGACAAACCAGAGTCCTTCTATATAAAAGAAAATTTTATTCTAAAAATAGAAAATTAATCTTACTAATAATGCCAAATAACAGAATTGCCAGATAACTGATGTTTTTTTAAAAAAGATATTTAAGAACATTAAGAAGATCTGGTTTTCTTATTTAACTGCAAATTAGAGATATAAAATGTTTCAGAAAATAGAAAGAAGGTAAACTTTGCAAAGCAATACTCCTTAACTAAGAAGTTTTGCTGCAGCTTGAAGATCGGAACTGTGCAGTCAGTGGCTTTGGTTATGGTGTTTATAATGCACATGTTCAATTATAGCCATGGCAGTAGGACACAGTAGCCTGTACAGAGCCATTGAAGGGCTCTACTATTTGCTAATATTTTATTTTGGAAAGATTTTCCCCAAAATTTCTTAGCTCCAGAATAATTGCATTACATGTGGCAGAGAATCACGTGTTTTTAAGAAGAAGATTTGTTCATGCAAAATAACTTTTTACAATTGGGGGGACACATATAACCCCATTACATAGCCTTCAGCAGTTTACTATGAAGTATGAAGTATATTGGAAGACAGTTAAAATAACTATCAACTCTTTTCCACTTTAAAAGACAAAGTTTAAAAATGGAACTAGCATGTAGTGGTTTCTTTTCCCTTTTATTCATGATAGAATACATGCAGTTGAGAATGAGAGAGAGAGAGAGAGAGAGAAAGAGAGGGAGAGAGAGAAGAGAGAGAGAGAAGCACCTCCGCAGGGACAGGTCACACCATGATCCTCTTCCTCCAGTCCTGCAGCCTATTGGATCCTGGCACTGACATGTTTGCCCAGGGTATTTTGAGCTGACTGGGCTGGGATTTGAACTGCTCATTGCCATGTGGGATCTGGCATTTCTTTAGTAATGCATTACTACTGCACCTCAGGGCTGGCCCAGAAACTAGCATGTATTGAACACCCAGTGAACAAAGTGGAATCTGTAAATTGGAGAGCATTAGATACTCATTACCAGAACAAAACCAATATTTACAGGATTATTGAAAGGGAAATCTCCAATTAAAGTAACTTATCACTGTTTTATTTTTCCAGTTTTTCTTCCTGTTACTTATGAGTTAATTTCTTCTTTTTTATATAGTAATTTTTTTCATGATAGAAACTATGTACATGCACGAGTATGAACATGAGAGAGAGAGAAGGGCCCTCTAGAGGGTCTTGAGACACCACAATCCTGTTTTTCCAGCTCTGTAGCTCATCAAGATCTTAGACACACAAGCATGCATTATACATGCTTTCAAGCCGATCCTGGGATTTGAACATGAGGTCAGCCATGTTGTGGCTTCCAGCACTACAGTTCAGGTTGCTACCTACTGCACCACTGAGCCCGACCAAGTTATGAGTTAATTTCTCAGCGTTCACAACGTACGAGATGGAGTATTTAAGCCTGATTTTTGTTTTCTCTTTATTTCAGAAACCTCCCCAGCTTTCTGAGGATGATATCCGGTTAAAAAGCGAGCAAGACAACTATAGTGCCAGCCTTCTGGAGCCTGCTCCCAGTTCTCTTCCTCCAGACCACAAAAACATGGAAATTGAGGTGTCTGTTGCAGAATGTAAAAGTGTTCCTGGAATCACCTCAACTCCACATTCCATGGACCACCCCTCCCCTTTCTACTCACCCCCACACAATGGCCTCCTCACTGATCACCATGAATCCCTGGATAACGATGTGGCCAGAGAGATCCGCTATCTAGACGAGGTGCTAGAGGCCAACTGTTGTGATTCCGTTGTGGATGGAACTTACAACGGCACATCTTCCCCAGAGCCAGGTGTGGCGATCCGAGTGGGCAGCCTGAGCCCACCTGCCCACACCAGCATCCAGCCAGAACCCACTGAGAGAGCATCTGGTAGGCAGGTGCCTCCTCCCATTGATCTCAATAAAGGCAACACCGACACCATGGCGGAGGGGGAAAGAGCAAATGGCCACTCCCCAGCGCAGCCCAGGGAGGTACTGGGGGACAGCCTTCAGGTCCCTGTGAGCCCCAGCTCCTCAACTAGCTCACGGTGTTCCTCCCGAGATGGGGAGTTCACACTCACCACGTTGAAGAAGGAGGCCAAGTTCGAGCTGCGTGCCTTCCATGAGGACAAGAAGCCCTCTAAACTCTTTGAGGATGACGAGCATGAGAAAGAGCAGTACTGTGTCAGGAAAGTGAGACCTTCAGAAGAGATGCTGGAGCTGGAAAAGGAGAGGAGAGAGCTCATCCGGAGTCAGGCCGTGAAGAAGAATCCTGGCATTGCCGCCAAATGGTGGAATCCCCCCCAGGAAAAAACCATTGAGGAGCAGCTGGATGAGGAACATCTGGAATCACACAAAAAGTACAAGGAGCGCAAGGAGAAGAGGGCACAGCAGGAGCAGTTGCTGTTGCAGCAGCAATTGCAGCAGCAGCAGCAGCAGCCACCCCCACCCCCAGTGCAGCTCTGCACAGCCCCTGCATCCCCTCACGAACATTCAAGCATGCCCGAGAATGCCAAGGAGGACATCGTCACAGAGCAGATAGATTTCTCTGCTGCTCGCAAACAGTTCCAGCTGATGGAACATTCCAGGCCAGCGGTGGCCAAGGGCCAGAGTACACCCAGACTGTTCTCTATCAAGCCTTTCTACAGGCCTCTGGGGTCAATGCACTCGGACAAGCCACCTACCATCACGAGACCAGCTTTCATGGGAGGACCTCCAGAAGACAGTGGCACATCAGCAGCCAAAGGGCAGAAAGCCCCCTGTGCCCTGGAGACCCAGATGGCGGGAGGGGGACAGGGTAGTACAGCCCCTCAGGGCAAGGAAGGGCCCTATAGTGAGCCCTCTAAACGTGGGCCCTTATCTAAACTGTGGGCAGAGGATGGAGAGTTCACAAGTGCCCGGGCCATCCTCACTGTGGTCAAGGATGATGACCATGGGATTTTGGATCAGTTTTCAAGATCAGTCAACATCTCTTTGACCCAAGAGGAGCTCGACTCTGGTTTGGATGAACTGTCAGTGAGGTCCCAGGATACCACCGTCCTGGAGACTCTGTCCAATGATTTCAGCATGGACAATATCAGTGACAGTGGGGCCTCCAATGAGACAACCAATGCCCTCCAGGAAAACTCACTGGCCGATTTTTCTCTGCCCCAGACTCCACAAACTGACAACCCCTCAGAAAGCCGAGGAGAAGGTGTCTCCAAATCATTTAGTGATCACGGTTTCTATTCTCCTTCTTCCACGCTGGGAGACTCTCCGTCAGTTGACGACTCCTTGGAATATCAGGCTGGTATCCTGGTACAGAATGCCATTCATCAAGCCATAGCTGAGCAGGTGGATAAAGCTATATCCAAAACCAGCAAGGATGGAGCAGAACATCAGGGACCTGAAGCAACTGTAGATGAAGCTGAAACCAGCGCTTCTGGCTCAGAGAAGCCTCAGAGCATGTTTGAGCCACCTCAGGTGTCCTCTCCCGTTCAAGAGAAAAGGGATGTATTACCAAAGATCCTGCCTGCAGAAGACAGGGCACTCAGGGAAAGGGAACCCCCACAACCACTGCCAACCGTGCAGCCAAGTGGCCCAATAAACATGGAGGAGACCAGGCCAGAAGGGGGCTATTTTAGCAAGTACTCAGAGGCTGCTGAGCTGAGAAGCACAGCCTCCCTCCTGGCCACTCAAGAATCTGACGTCATGGTCGGGCCCTTCAAGCTGAGGTCAAGGAAGCAGCGGACTTTGTCCATGATCGAAGAAGAGATCCGAGCAGCCCAGGAAAGGGAAGAGGAGCTGAAGAGGCAGAGACAGGTCTTGCAGAGTACACAGAGCCCCAGGGCAAAGAATGCCCCATCGCTGCCCTCCAGAACATCGTGTTACAAAACTGCCCCAGGTAAGCAAAGTACCTCATACCAGAGAGATGCTGTGGACATCTGCCTTTGCTGATTCCAGCATGTGGGTTTCTAGGTGGAGCCTCCTCTGTGTGTGCGTCAGGAGAGCCCTGGCACAAGGATTTCAGGATTTCAGGGACTTGCAACATGAGTGTGAGTGTGTCCTTAGGAGGAACCCTGAACCTGAATGGTTTGTCCCTTCCTAGCAGATGTACTAGCTCCTTTCTTGTGCTGCTTTGGTTTTGGTTTATTACAGAGATTTGTCTTTTATTTGACATAGAACCAGAGTGTGCCCGTGTGTACCCTGTGTTTGAGTCAGAAGCTTGACCCTGAGTATCTGTACTTGAGTCAAGCCCATCTGACTTGGGCATGTGCTAGACTAACCCTATTTGAGTGATGAGCTTTACTAACCATGATAGTTGAGACTCAGTGTACCAGATTGACTCACGGAGGGTGTTTTTGTCCGTCTTTTACATGATTGTATTCCTCTTTCTATAAGTCACCATAAAGCAATTACTATGGAATCAGGGGTGTCTTACCCACCCTTGTCATATGACCCATTTAGAGTAGTTAAGTTACTATAAGCAAAAGCAGGTCTTTAGTTCCCTTCCATTGCTGGGGCAGACCCTTTCTTGCGTACTTTGTATAAATGACTGATGTTCATTAGAGGGGCAATTGTTGCTGCCTTTAAGGATAACAGTGTTTTTATTTACCCTGTGGGTATGATGGCAACAGGGATCCATGGATCCTACCATAGGAAAGTGCTGCTCAGAGTGCAATCTGAGCTAGTCCATGAACTGTTTGTCAGGGATCCATGCTAGGATGAATACAGACAATGGGAGTAAGCGTTGGAAAACTCTGTAGCAATCTGATACTGTCCTGAAATCCAAGCGTGGGGTTTTGTATCTTATACAAGCGTTGGTCTACAGTGGATTGGAGAAGGGGGAACTGATCTTTTACCAGAGATAATTTAAGAAGTGTTGCCCTAAAACATAATTATTGGAATTTAACTTGGTCTGTCCAGATTTTAGTCCTATCTTGACTCTTGACTGCCTGTCAGGTCTACAAGGATACAAGATGATTCTTCTTATTATTAATTTTTAAATACTGAAACTACCTGAAACCTAAAAAAAAAAAAAAAAAAAAAAAGAGAGAGATTCTAAATTAGTATTTTATTCTTAAGCTCTTGAGAGTAAATTGCCAACACGATGCCCAGTTGCTCTCAGTTTTGTCAAATGTCCCTCACTTTGTGTCTGTCTGGTGCTTTCACAGATTGCCACCAGGTCATACAACCTTGGTGGGATATACCACAGAACTGGTACTGTATTCTCACAGTATCCAGACAGGTAGAAGTACATAGTATCAGTTTGTTCCATTAGAGGGAGACTTGTGTTAACTTCCTTTTTTTTTTTTAAGAGGTTTTCGCTATAGGGCGCGTGTGCTCGCCAGACAGACAGAGAGAGACATAGAGACAGAAAGCGAGAAATCACCCCCCAGGGGGGATGGTCACGCTGCAATCCCTTCTCCTCCATTCTCCTCTCAGGATCTTGGGCACGCACGCACACGCGCCCGGCATGAGTTTTAAGCCACTGGGTCCGGGATGCGAACCACGGTCGACTATGTGGGAGTCCAGCGACATAGCCATTACGCTAACTGCTGGTTCCCAGACTTGTGTTAACTTTGATTACTTGTTAGTCTTGATCACTTGATTGAAAAGAGTCTACCACGATTCTCCATGGTAAAGTTACTTTTTCCTTTTGTAATAATAAATATTTGTGGGAAGGTATTTTGGTACTGTGTAATCTTCACTACTTATAAGACTTTAAATGGCTGATTTGTTTATGTCAGTGAGATCTCATGGATTCCTATTATATTCGATGGGTCGTAATCCATTTCTTTTATTGTATTTAGCCTTTATTTGTTTAGATATAGCTCGTGGAAGCCCTTTCAAGCTATCTTCCGTGTCTTTTTGAGATGTCTCCATTATTCCTGGTATCACAAGGTGTTCCAGTTTCATTTTATACTTTCCCAACCCTGGAGTCGGCCATTTTTCCAGAGAATGCCAGTTCCTTTTAGTGGAGAGCAGCATTTAGAAACCAAGACCTGGGTGCTAGGTGTGCTGTCTGCTACTGGATTGTCAAATCTCCCAGGCACTCCCAGTGGACAGAATTAGAGAATATCCTCTTTCTGTCTGTCTTGAAACACATGAGTTTACTTAACACCTTTAATTCTAATTTAATATGAGGTTCATGCATGTCTTCTTTCCATATTTACATACCTGTCTCCTAATCTTCAATACAGTTATTACTTGAATTCTGTCCCCCCTTATGTAGCCAATCTCTCTCTCTCTTTTTTTTTTTCCTCACCAAATTTGGGCTCTAACATCACTTTCTAGGTAGCCACTGTCACTACTAACACCCTATGTCACTTGGGCTCCAACACCTTTTTGCTGGGTCGCTGCTGTTTCTTGCCAACCCTATTCTGGCACCAGCACACATGGCTGGATCACTATGGCTCCTCCCACCCCCTTCTACTGCACCGTCTTATTCAGTACCACCTAGTGACTTTGGGACTGAATTGTTTCGGAAGGAAAGGGAAGGGAGGAGGAAGGTGAAGAACATAGTACAGTAACTTTCTTGATAAGATTTTTAACTCCTTCAGTTCACAGGCCACAGTGCCAGCAGAGTGCTTAAGACAAGAGAACTTTTAGGGAAGATTTTGCCCAGCCTTAACACGGATGAGTTAGCTTTTCCCAAAGATCCTTAGTTGTCAAATTCACTTTAAATGTTTCGTTAAAAGCTGGATTGGCATGACAATACTATTCTGTATAGTGTCCTGGAAAAAAGTCTTCATATCACTTGATTTCAGGCCAAGCTGAGGAGCCTCATTTGTAAGTCAGTGATGCTAAAGGGCCTGTGTAAGAGCTTGTGGTCTCACTGAAAGAGGGAGGTTCTGCAGGTGTCTTCCCTTTCTGCTCACATGGAAGGCAGGTCATGTGACCCTACTCCTACCAGTTATAGTCAGCTCTACCCCCTACCTAAGCACCCATTTGCATTATTTCACTATAGAGCCTTCTCTAAAGTTCATATGCTCAGTGGACATCCTGGTTCATCCATTGCTTATAACAATGGACTGGGTAGTTTATAAAGAGCAGAAACTTATTCTCACAGGGAGCCAGCAGATTTGGTGTCTGGTGGGGACCCATATCCTGTCATAGATGGTGCCTTGCTATGTCATCACATGGTAGAAGGGAGGACGGTAGCTCTCTGCGGTTTCTTCTACAAGAGCCCGAATCCCATTCCTGAGGACTCAGTGCTTGTGATTCAGTCACCTCTCAAAGATCCCACATATTAACAGCATCGCATTGGTGACCGAGTTTCAACAAAGACTTTTTGAGGGGACACAAACTTCAGATGGTAGCAGTGGGTATTTTTAGTTTTCTCTACTCTGTCTCTTTATTGAATCCCTCACTATATCACCCCTAATTTACTTCTGACACATGAACAATGGTCTAATATAAAGATATTTCAATACTTTACCCTTGTTCACTCCCCCACCCCTGCTGTCTGTGAGGCTTCCCCACCAGAATTGAGATTAGAGTCCTAATGTTTGCCCTGGGGGCATTCCAACAACTCATTCCAATTTCCCCTGCACTTCTCTATGTTCATACTGACCTCCTCTCCCAAATTCCATCCTCATAGGCTGACTTCTGTCCTTTTAGAAAGATGGTAATTCATTCACCCAAGTTGATACTCTGCTCTAGTCTGGTTATTGTATTAAATACAATCATAATAATGATGTGTAAGCATCTTTGTTTAAAAAGAGAATTATTTATTTCTTTAATTCCATTTGTTTTTGTTATTATGATTATTTAATTTGACCAGACAGAGAGAGAGAGAGAAAGGGAAAGTGAGAAAGCAAGCCACCAGGTTTGGTACTCAAATTGCGGTCAGCCATATGGGAATCCAGTGCTTTTAACCACCACACCACCTGCCAGCCCCAATGTATGCATCTTATTCCTTCCTGTTTATCTCTAGAACATTTAAAGTAGTTCTGCAGGTTCCTGGATTTAGAACATGGATTGAATGAAACCAAATGCAAGGTGCAATTTTCTTTCCATCCATGCTTAGAAAACTTCAGGGTATTGATTGGGCAGCCAGCCTCCAAATCTGTGATCAGGGAGGGGGCTGACACATTACTCCAAGCAGCCAAACTGGACTATTCATGGCCAGGGTCAGAACTGCTGGCCTCTGCTTTGGTTTTGTGAATGGAGATACTGCTAAATTCTACTGCACTGCACATTTCCTGCCAGAAGTGACTCAGCTGGTTTGTCCTGTGACTCAGATTGGTGATTTGATATTAGGTGATGAAATATTTAATTTTTAACTTCTCTGGTGGAAATAATGTTGACGACATACTAGAGTCATAAAAAATTAAGGCAAACAAAATTTACTGGGGTCCAGATTTAGAGATTCATTTCCTGAACCAGGGCCAACCTGAACACACTGGGTACCATTACATACCTGAATCTGGAAGTCTGGGGCAGGAAGACTGGGACTCAACAAGACTTTGTCAAAAATGCCTAGCTTCTCCCTCCATCCCTCCCTCTCTCTCTTCTCCTCCCTTTTCCTAGCTTTCTCCTTATCTTTCTCATAAAGGGAGGAAAAATCTACTGAGAACCAAGATGTGATTAAGAAGAAGAAATAGTCTATTGTGCCCCACTGAAAAGTTACCTAGACATAAACCCCATTCCTCCCCAGGTGTTGAAAAGATATTTGTTTTAACTTTAAGTTTTCTTGCCTTTAATGATGGAAAATAGGGTCAGCCAAGTGGCATGGTGGTTAAGGCGGCTGGATCCCACATGATCGATTGCATGGTTCAAGTTCTGGACTCAGCAACTTGGAAAGTACATGGGGCATGTCTGTGTGCATGCCCCACATCCCAGGAGGAGTATGGAAGGAAGGTGATTGTGGCTTGTCTATCCCCCCTGGGTATGTGTGTG